TTGGGGAAGAATGCTTCATGGATTGTGGGGCAAAGCAGAAAGGAGCATGTGTGAGTGTTAAGTCTTTCAAGAGTGAGATGTGCCTTACTGAAAGCCCCTTATCTTCCTTTGAGAATTTTCTCCTGCCTGAAATAACAGTGGCCACATTTGACTCTTGCTTCAGTTTATTTTACTTTGCAAATAAGGCAGCAAGCTATGCAAAACAGGATGAAATCCACAGTTATTCGGTGAACCTTAATCTAAGTCTCTTTGACTGTAGATTCTGCCATGACAACTTGTGTTGCTGCTGCTAAAGAACATCCTATACTTAGCTTTGCCCATTTAATTGATGGCTTGAGTGCTTCTTGGGTAACTTAAGGAATACATGAAAGGTTATGCTGCTTCTGTCCTGCAGCATTGAGGCTTAATGGAACCTTTGTCAAGAGCAATGGTAGTGGGAAATGGGCAAACATTTTTAAATGCCTAATTGCTTTACAGGATTAGTAACAATCATGATTTAAAGATCCCTGTTGGATCTTGTGGAGGAGGTGTGAAGTACTACATTGTGGTAGAAATGACTTGTCATGGAAGAGGATGCATAAATGTTTGCAAACCAGAGTCAGATGGCAGAAGAAATCTAGGTTTAAAAAGTGAGGAATAATGGTCTTTATAGTTCTTCTTCATGCTGTTCTGTACTAAAACTAGTACACATAATGTTTTAGAAGCAAGTCAGTATAGATGGTTTTATTATGAATATTTATTTTACATTTACTTGTCATATAATATCTTACATAGCCCATATAAGAAAATCAAGGCTGGAGTATTTGTTAAAACTCATCCCCCCCTTCTAGGTGGAGTCATTCATTTTGGATCAGGATGATCTGGAAAATCCTATGCTGGAGACTGCTTCAAAATTGCTGCTGTCAAGTACTGCTGATGGTGCTGATCTAAGAACAGTAGATCCAGAAACCCAAGCTAGGTTAGAAGCTTTACTGGAAGCTGCAGGTAACTCAGAATTGATTACTGTTGCTATAAGCTTAAAGAGCTATGCATATATGTTCCCAAGATAATTTAATGTGAGTTGGTGAACTCTTAAACATTTTAGGGCACAAACCTATCACAATGCAGAGCACCCAAATTTGGAGGCTTGCAGACATATGAAGAGTAGGAGGAACACAGCTGATGCAATCTGTGCTTCCCCATGGTTTGCTTTTTCTACTAGATGGACTTTTTTGCCCGTCTAGCAACAGCATGAGGGGAGGGGAGGGGGCTGGAGCAAAATGAGATCCTCTAAAACTAAAAGAGTTTCCATGGTGGCTGCAAGAGTGGTGGGGCAGAGGTCTAGTTCTGAGGTTGGAGCACTGTCTCTAGCCTGTCTAGGGCCTATAGAATTGTTTCTCTGGGGAGTATTTAGCCTGATCGTGCCTATCCATATCCTGGTAGCTTCCAAACAGAACTACTGCAATGCATTCTTAGAGTTTTCTTTTAAGACTGAACTGTTTAGAAACTTCATGGATGTCTAAAGTAGCTAGTTACTGGTAAGGATCAGCTACCAGGAATATGTTTAACTGAAATTGCTCTGCCACCTTCCCATTCAGGGTACAGGTATTATGCAGCCATTTGTACTTTATTTATAGCTTTCCTATCCCATCCCCTACAAATGACTCAGGATGGCTTACAGTAAAGTTTGTGATCTAGCAGTCTGAAGGGACTGTCTAGATACTTTTAACCTCTTTAGATGCACTTGTTGAAAGCCTCCTGCCATCAGAAGTGGGCAGCCTTCAAAGTGCCTCATTTATGCAACATCTCCACAAAGGTCTGCCTGGCACAGGGTGGGGAAGCTCAGTCCTGGGGGCCATATCTGACTTTCTGAGTTTTGCTGGATGGCCATTTCCAATTTTCTGGCTCTGTAGCTTTTCCCAAGCCATGGAGTCTATGGCTCTTCTTCCCTTTTTGTGTGCTGTCTTCATCCACCCCTGCCCAAGGAAGCTGGAAGGATTAGCAGTAAAAGTTTTAAGCTAAAATATGCTAGTAATTGGGGGTTAAGCTTTTCCCTTTGACTGCCACCTACCCCTCAAATATGGTCCCAGGGAGCTTTTCCTAGATAATTTTGGGCCTTGGGCTGAAAGAGGTTGTCTAGTCTGTTTATCAGGGTTTATGTATTACTTAAGAATTCTTTATTTGTCATTTCATAATGTTGGTTATTAGAAAATAATTAACCGCAATATCTCTTGCACAGACTGTTCTATACTACTTTGTGCAAGAGTTTTTAATTAATGTTACTGGTGATGCAGGTATTTTCCATCTGTGCCTTTGTGGAATTATGTTTAATTATATTTAAAATTTTATATTTGTTGATTGGATGGCTGATTTAGAAATATATTTTAACTTTGAAAGTAGTGTGTAAGTTTTTTTTTAAATTATCTTTTTCTCATTAGTTTAATCTATGTTTGCGTGAAGTGGTGATTCTGATTTTGATTCAATGTTTGTAGGTTTCTGAAGTAATCTAAAATGAGACAATGCAGGCTCATTCAAGTCATGAAGAATATATCAGTCAATAGCTTTGCAACTGCCTCTAAGAAATTTCATTGCACTGCATAATGTTTGTTGAGCTTCCTCAATATGACAAAATTATGATGCAGTCATTTGGCCTCTCAACATTGTCTTGGAAGCCATAGTAATCCTATGTGTGACCTTGAAGCTGGGATTCTGAAGGTTGAACCCTCCCACCCTGTTCCAGTTGCAGCTGGCATAAGAAAAACCCATGCTGGCTGTATGCCATGAGTTCCCAGTTGGGACTCAGAGGAGGGAAAAGGGTGGCATCCTGGGAGTGGGGAAAGGAGAAGGCTGGGACAACTGACCTAAGATGATTCTAATGGGCATCCCAGCTTCCTTTCCCACCCAGCATTAAATACCCAGCATTAAATACCCAGCATAAAATACCTGGTGTGAAGTGTGGTAGCAGTGGCAATTGCCATCACTGTGCCTTATTCCCAGCATAGGATGCACATAAGCTTCTCAGTAGGAGGTTTATGTGCATCAGGAGCAGGGACATAAGATTGTGCCCTTCATAGTGTTTGGCTAGTATTCTGAATGAACTTAAGTTATTTCTGTTTTCTTTTCCTCGTATAAAAACGGGCTATCCGCTGTTGTTACAATGCGAAATAAAAGGAATAGGTAAATTATCTACAGCTGATGGAAAAGCCTTTGCAGATCCTGAAGTGCTTCGCAGACTGACTTCTTCAGTCAGCTGTGCATTGGATGAAGCTGCTGCTGCACTTACCCGAATGAGAGCAGAAAGCACAACAAATGCAGGGAAGATGGACAAGTGAGTATTTTGTTTTATGGAAGTCTATTCTAATAGTTTTGACAGCTGTTCCATATGTTTCTGCTATAATAAAACAGTTGTCTACTAAGCTGTATCCTTAGAATTCAGATTTCAAATTTGGCATTTCTTATTCAATCCATTTTGCACTGTGAATTTTTAGAATGGAGCAGGCGATTGGAATGATCTCAGAGTCCCCAGAGGATGGGAACCCAAAAATTCTGGCATGGGTTACTAGCCAAGCATTTTTGGGTTACCACCAACTCCTCTGACAGATACAGCATGAAGTGAGAGACCAGTTCTGTTTCTTGTCCTAGTTCGGTGCACTTGCTCCTGAGTAGCCAAGGTAGTGATAGTCTTTCATGCAATGTACATTCCAAGTGATCTGCAGAGAATCTGGCCAATATTATTTTGTTTGGTAGAAAATAATTTCCTCAGAAGTTCATCCAAGAATTTCCTTTTTGCCTTCCTGTGTATTAGAAGTTTTTCTGATAAAACAATGACATAAGACTTGATTTGTGAAAGTTTTCATGTGCATGAATGTAATGGGAAAAAACAGCAGTGATAATTCATAAGAGAATTAAATTAGATAATTCCTGTAGTAGTTGCATAGGGAATATTGCAGCATGCAGTGTACTCACAATTTTAGGCAATTAGCACTTCACCCAATCCTTCTCTTCCCCCTCTTTCCTCTGGCTACTGTTCAATGGATGTTGCAGGGATGGAGACTCAGTTATGCTCTCTGTGCTGCCACCTCTGATGACTTAGCTAGTAGGTTAACAAGTCAGGTTAATGAACTACACCCCCAAAACTCCTCCTGGGAGTGGTCATTTATCCTTGTAATTTCTAAGAAAACAGTTAAATCATTATTTCTAATGTAATTATTTCTAATGTAAGTATGGTGTGGATAAACACTATTGGAATGAGCATTTTAAAATGAAAAAAGTCTAGAGCCATCAGTAATAAAAGACATGAGCACTGGACTGAAGATGAAGACATTGCAGGTGATCACTATCTGGGAGTTTCATGGCTAAGTATGCTATAACAGACATTTTTTATTAATTAAAGCCTTTATTTAATGTTCTTAATTAGCCATGGGCTTGCTGAACAGTTTACGGTAAAAACAAGATCAAAATCCAACATAATGACAATATAACATAAATAGATCTGATATCAATCATAAGACACAGTAGCTCCCAAAAGCCAGTTAAATGAAGTTATCAAACATGAGTTCAAATCTTTGTTATAGATGTTCTTACTCCCTCTCCTCCACTTCAGAAATAGCTCAACTAACTTATTCTGTATAATACACATTGTGTGGCTATGGCCATTTAGGGCACAGTCATATTGATGTCACCCTGGATGCACATAAGCTCTTGAACCTGGAGGATTATAGGCACCAATACAGAGTGGAAAGAGAGCTGGAGATAATTTCTGCCTCCTCACACTGCCTGCTCCATATTATTTATTTATTTAAAACTTTTGTATGCCATCGCTTATACATGGCATCTCAGGACTGCTTACAATCATTAAAACAACCACAATAAAACAGCAATAAAGAACAACAAAGAACCCAAATGAAATAAGTTAAATAAAAGTGACTGTTAAACATTAAAATTTAAATTAGTTTTTAAAATAACAGTTAAATAAAAAGGTTTTAACCTGGCACCAAAAAGAATATAAATGGCGCCAAGCAAACCTCTCTGGGGAGCGCATTCCATAATCTGGGTGCCACCACAGAGAAGGCCCTCCTCTGAGTAGATATCCTTTTTACCTCCTTCAGAGAGGTTCTCGGAGCAGGGCCTCTCCTACAGATCTTAAGAGGCGTGACGACATATAAGGAAGGAGGTGTTCTTTCAGATATCCCGGTCCCAAGCCGTTCAGGGCTTTATAGGTCAAATCCAGCACCTTGAATTGGGCCTGGACTTCAACTGGAAGCCAGTGGACCTGATAGAGGACCAGCATTATGTGAGAATAATGACCGGTCCCCGTTAGCAACCTGGCTGCTCTATTCTGTACCAGCTGAAGTATCTGGATCGTTTTCAAGGGCAGCCCCATGTAGAGCATATTACAGTAATCCTACCGGGAGGTTACCAAGGCATGAATCACCGTTGCTAGGCAGAGTTTGTCCAGGTAAGGACGCAGCTGATGGACCAGCCAAAGCTGTAGGAAAGCACTCCTTGCCACCGCCGCCACCTGGATTTCCAATGACAGCTCTGGGTCAAGGAGTACCCCCAAGCTATGGACCCTGTCCTTTAGAGGGAGTGCTACCCCATTCAAGAGAAGGTCAAAATCACTTACCTGAAACCACGATCCACCCACCAACAGGACTTCTGTCTTATCTGGATTGAGGCTCAGTTTATTGGCCCTCATCCAGCCTATTACCTTGGCCAGACAGCAGTTCAGTATATCCACTGCCTCACCTGCTCAAGAGGTAGAGCTGGATGTCATCAGCATTTTAGTCAGATGGCTGTTCTTCAGGTGCTTCAGAGGAAAAGGAAGGAGGCTAAAGTACCACCGAGATTCTTCACATACTGGAAGTTCCTATCTTCTCTGCTCCCCTGTTCCCAGAATGCCCCCTATCCCAGGACTTTTTCCCAGACTTGGAGAGGGAGCTGCAGTGGTTCTTTCCATGCCAGCTGCAGATGCAGGACAGAGAGAGGATTAGAGAGCAGATTCTCAGTTCTGAGGTTAGAGCTCTGTCTCTGACCTTGTATCTGGAAATTTGAATAGGAAATTGAAGAGTCAGTAGCATGACTAAATTGATTTTAATAGCAATGAGACTACAACTTGGATCTTCCACTTGATAGTGCAGCTGCAACTTCATAATTGTTTGCATGCACAGCCAGCTAATGTATTTTATCATCTATTATTGTTTCCAGCATTTCTAATTTGCTGTGTACAATCTTCTCTGGCATCTAGTTCTTTGCACCCAGTGACTGCTTCCTAGAACTCTGGTTGTATTTACCTATTTTGGAGGAACTGTTGGCAGGGGTTATGATTGTCATTCTTACAACTTTAATTTTATGATAGAATAAGGCCCTTTTCAAGCCCACAAACCATTGGAATAAGTTTGTCTGTTACATTTCATTGTGTCTAGGTGGCATGTTTTAAGTCTGTGTTTGATGGGAATCTAGTATTATTCAAACACTGATATGTAAGTGTTAACCTTAATTTTCTTCTTCCCTTTGTAGCCGTAGTTTAGCAGAAGCTTGTTCAGAAGGAGATGTAAATGCTGTGCGGAAGTTACTTATTGAAGGGCGAAGTGTGAATGAACACACTGAAGAAGGGGAAAGTCTTCTTTGTTTAGCCTGTTCAGCTGGATACTATGAACTTGCTCAGGTTTGTCTCTTCGTATTCTGTTTCCACAGTGAACTTAGAGCTCTGGTCTTTTCCTAGCACTTCCATGCTTAGGGAGAAACCCTTTTCAGGGATCCTCTAGAGGAGCTTCTGATTGAGACAAAAAACAAGAAATGAATTCTCTCAAATCTCTCAAAGAAGAAAGAACATGGGATCAGCAGACCAAGTACTTTTGTCTAATGCAGTTCTACTGCTCCTCAAAATAGTCTTCCAGAGATATCAAACCAAGGTGGCGGCAGCATCAAAAAGTCAGACCCAACTCAGTTCAGGCAGTTCAGCATTCAGGCAAGAAATGCAGCCCTGGTTGATCATCTACACCCATCCTCAGAACCACCTCTTAGGTTCATATGCAAATTTTTGTTCTAGTCCCAGAGACCACATAATGCAAAATGCACCTCCATATTCTTTTTTGTAACTGAAAACAGTTTGATGGCATTGCTTTCCAGAAAGTGCAATAATGTGCATAAAATTCGATGTTTTTTACTGCAACTGTTGGAAAGAGAAACCAGAAAAAAGTACTTGATCCTGTTGATTTCCAGAGACCAACTTTTGGTGACTATTTCTGGGTTAACGCATAAGAGTTGTTTTAGTTTAAGAGGTCTTTCTTCCAATCTTAGAGCACTGAAGTCCACCATCTAAGGAATCAGCAAGCTAGTTCAGCTGAGATGACAACAAATGCCAGCTAAGTGGATGGGACACTCACTGCTGAAGGATAGGACTCTCCTGTTCTCATGGATAGACATCTACCTACTTACTGTCTTTTAAAGATAAGAACATCTAAAAGGCATTCTCAGAGTTAGATACATAGAAACAGAGCAAGTCAGAAGGGATCTCCTGGGCCATCTAGTCTGACCCCCCCCCCCCCCCCAGCTCCAGCCAGCTCCACTCACAACATGCCTACCATGTGCATGTCTAGCCTATCCTTGAACACCCTTACTGATGAGGAATCAACCACCTCCTGTGGAAGCCCATTCCATACTCTAGGGGTCCTAACTGTCAGGAAGTACTTCCTGACATCCAGATTAAACCTTGGTTCCTTGAGCTTTGCTCTGTTGGAGGTTCTACTTGAACCTTGGTTCAAGTAGATGGCTTAGCTTGGTCTCAGCAGATTGTGTCCTGAACCTAAGCTTAGCTCGTTTTGCTTCTCCCAACAGGAAGCTACCCTGATATAGTATAATATTCCAGGGCAAAGGAAGAGAACGCAAGTATTTAGACTCAGTCTAGCTGTATGGACCTCCATAGTTTTACCCTATGCCCTTCAAATTTCAAGGGTGATTTGAAAAATCCATAGGCAGATGTGTTTCTAAGCATTACAAGATGACTGCAATACCCTGATTGCTGAACCACGGTCCCTAATAAATATTCAATATCAGTATTCTAAGGACCCAAGTTACACTAGAATCTAACTATGCTCAAATTTGTCATCACAAGGCAGGTTAGAATATGCCAAGGAACCTCATCTATTCCATAAGAGTGGTGGATATTTTGAACTTTTCAGCAGTATTTGTATAGGGTGCTGTCAAAGAAACTGAAAGCATTATTTCATGACATACTAGAAATTTTCCTGGATAGCCTATCTGCAGAGCTCAAATTTAAGATCTCTACGCAAGAAGTTTTCTCTATTCCTTTCAGCATACTGGGATACAGCATTTGCCTCCCTGAGCATTTACCCACAAGTTTGCAGGTTCCTGAAAGTTGACTCACTCTTCAGTTCACCAACAGCAAACATGGCCTGCCCATGGAGATGTTAATGTGCTCTTAACTAGATCACTTTTGAGCCTTGACCTCAAAATACTGATGTGAAAGAGGGTGTTCCTGAAATTCTTCATGAATCTTTGCATCATTTACCCTTTCACAATAATATTCTAACCAGATCAGTCATTTATTCCAAAGATCAGCTTTTTCACATTGCTTGTTCTGTCTTCATGACTTTTCCTCGTAAAAGTTACACCTGATATCTGGCACTTACTTTTTGTATAGAAAGGACCAACTCCATCCACCAGGACAAATCACTTACTGTTTCATACAAGAGATAAACATAAGAACATAAGAAAAGCCCTGCTGGATCAAAGCAAAGGTCCATCTAGTCCAGTGCTTCACACACAACCAACTGCCCACAAAATTCCTCAAGTAGGATGAGTGCAACACCTTCTCTTCCCAAGCTCCTCAGCAACTGGTGTGTGCAGGCAGGCCACTTCCCTTAAAGGAAATGGCACATAGTTAGCAAGGCTAGTAGCCACTGTTAGCAATTACTTTGAAAAGGATGGCGTTCATGACTTATTTGGCTCATTGATTAAAATAATGCATTGCCTAGCTTATCATTCTAGGTACCACTTCATTAGTACTATCTGGGAAAGAGATTGGCAGAAGAAGTTAATGCAGGGAAGTTGCCTGGTTATTGGCACACATGTTTAGCGATCATTTAAAGAGCGACTGCATCCTCCAATGAGTCCTGAATTCATGGAAGGCATCCATCAGAGAGTGGTGATTCCAGTGTTTTTGGGAGCTTTCTTCTTTCATGAGCAGAAACAGTAATTCTGCACTTATTTGTAAATTTTTAGACTTGAAAGAACAAGCACAGCTAGGCCTATCATATGATACCTGGGTTTTAGAAAGGAATGTTTATCTGAGGGTGAGGTGATCCCTCCCCCATCTTCCTGCAATTTTCAAGGCCTCCCACACAGTCTGGTCATTTCATTTCCTGTAACTTTGGATAATACATTATTTTTGATGGTGTCTACTAAGTTTGGTTTAGGCTTTTGTATATGTCTGCTCCTCTGAGGCATAAGTATTCTCTTTGGTTACAGTGCTTGGGCAGAGAGATGCTCTGTTTTCTACAGCTACGGAAATTGGAAACTGCCTTCCTTGCCTTGGCAGAGGGTCTTATTCCAATTCTAGCTATCTCTTTTCCTTGATAAGAACATAAATGCACCAGAAAGTTCCAGAGTTTCTGCTTTTTTGAACATTTTCTTCAGTCATAAAATCCTATTTCACAATTGGGAGTGGAGGAAATAGTTCTAAAAAGCAGTGAAACCATCTTGCATGTAGAGCATAAGAAGCGCCATGTTGAATCAGACCAATGGTCCATCCAGTGTAGCATTCCATTTACATGCCAACTGCCTACAGGTCCCTCAAGCAGGAGTTGTACAAGAGTTCTGCCTACTAAAGCTCCTCTGGGACTGGTGTATACAAGCATACTTCCTCTAACAATGGAAGTAGCACATAGCCTACAAGGCCAGTCACAATTGACAGGATTTTTCTCCATAAATTTGCTTAATCCCCTTTTAAAGCCATCTAAATTGGTGGCCATGGCTACTGCCTGTGACAATGAATTCCACAAAACAGCATAAGAAAAGCCATGCTGGTTAGACCAGTGTTCTGATTTGCTCTTATTTGTCCTTCAGTTAAATTATTAATTTGCTACACAGTACTTGATTGGCTAGAACCATCTGTGCACTGTGTAATCTCATATGGGCTCATCAACACAAAGCTATGTTAGCCTGGGTTCTCCTTGGGAAGGAGAAAACAGCCCTAATCTTTTTTTTTTTAAATTGTGATTATTTTGAGTGGGGGTCAAGAGTTGAAGTGGAAAGAAATAAATAACGCTTGCACATTAAGGGACTTGGGGGGTGGGCATTTCTATCACCCTGCCCTAGCAGTACTGCAAATGCTCAAAGCAGAGCTAACATTTGATGTAACTCTATATACAGAATAGTAATGGCTTAGTTGCTCTTTATCTCCTTTGCAACTCCCAGTAATATGCATACATGCAGGAGCAAAGTTTGCAAGTTATAGAATATTGACCTAGATGTTTTGCATGACAGGCACCAAAAACTACTAACCCAGTCAATGCTGAGCAAGCCATAGGAAGGGATGGAGAATAGGATGAACATTAAGGAGGCAGAAATTAAGTGTACCACTCTCTAAGCGAAGTATTTCTGTTTGCATTACATTGCTATGCCTTAAGATGTTTCCTCTGTCCTAGGAAATAGTTATTACGTATTGCTGCTGAAACATCACATAATCGAAGTGCAAACAGAATAACCCGTCTGCTGTTACTACTCCATTTATGCATATAGTATATCAATGAAATAAATAATAGTGTTTGAATTAGAAGAAATACCAAGCACACAAGGATTATATCTGCATAGTTAGGTAATAGATTTGGTTGACAGATTTAGATTTTCACCTTAACTATCCATGTTTTGTTCTTTCTGTCAATAGGTCTTGCTGGCAATGCATGCAAATGTTGAAGATAGAGGTGTCAAAGGAGACATAACACCTCTAATGGCTGCTGCTAACGGGGGACATGTCAAAATTGTCAAGTTGCTGCTAGCTCATGGTGCTGATGTCAATGCACAGTCTTCAACCGGTAAGACATATCTTATACTTCAATGTAACAGGAATATGGAGAACTTGGGAACGGTGCATCACAAATTACACATTTTTAATATGAAGGAATTCAGGCAGGTTGGCTATTAAAATCAAATTTACTGAAAATTCTTCTCTTCTAAAGAATTTTGGTCAGGGTTGGTGGGGCAGTATTGTGGAAACAACCCATGTTGTTTCATTGGTGCAAGGAGATGTCACAAAGGGAATACATATAAGGAAAGGGAAGAGTATTTTAATACATGGTTCTTTGTAATCTGGGTCAAGAAGGCCGAGTCTTGACAGTGAATTATGCACAAAAAGGTGAAGTTGGATTGTGAGCAAAGTGTATGCATGCTATACAGTTCTCTCAAGAGACTGTAACTGTTGAGTTTCACTTGATACTTGAGCTTGATATTTTCTCAGTAAAAGTTACCACACTTACAAACACGATGTGGTTATGCAAGAGCAATTACTCTTTTACAGAATGTTAATAGAATGACTAAATACCAAGCACCAGGCAAACATCATTAATTGAACATAAACACTTGGTTATTTAAAAATTTGAAACATGTACATTGAGGTTTTGGTATGCTACTTGTCTGTCCTATATTTTAAAAAAGATCCCTCTACTCAAATACATCTATACTCCATATCCAAAGATCCATATACTTTATAGATCTATATACTCCATAGGAACCTGGAATGTAAGATCCGTGAATCAAGGCAAGCTGGATGTGGTCAAACAAGAGATGACAAGACTGAACATTGACATCTTAGGAATCAGTGAACTAAAATGGACAGGAATGGGTGAATTTAAGTCAGATGACCATCAGGTATACTATTGTGGGCAAGAATCCCTCAGAAGAAATGGAGTAGCTTACATAGTCAATAAAAGAGTACGAAAAGCAGTATTGGAATACAACCTCAAAAATGACAGAATGATCTCAGTTCGAATCCAAGGAAAACCATTCAACACCACAATAGTCCCAAGTCTATGCCCCAACCACTGGTGCTGAAGAGGCTGAAGTTGACCGGTTCTATGAAGGCCTACAACACCTTCTAGAATTAACTCCGAAAAATGGTGTCCTTATCATAATGGGGGATTGGAATGCTAAAGTAGGAAGCCAAAAGGTAACTGGAATAACAGGCAAGTTTGGCCTTGGAGTACAAAATGAAGCAGGGCACAGGCTAGTAGAATTTTGTCAAGAGAATAGCAAACACTCTTTTCCAACAACCCAAGAGATGACTCTACAATGGATGTCACCAGACGGTCAACACAGAAATCAGATTGACTATGTGCTCTGCAGCCAAAGATGTAGAAGCTCTATACAGTCAGTAAAAACTAGACCAGGAGCTGACTGTGGCTCAGATCATGAGCTTCTGGTTGCAAAATTTAGTTTTAAATTGAAGAAATTAGGGAAAAGCAATAGGCCACTCAGGTATAACCTAAATCATATTCCTGATGAATATACAGTAGAGGTGACAAATAGATTTAAGGAATTAGATCTGATAGACAGAGTGCCTGAAGAACTATGGACGGAGGTTCGCAACATTGTACAAGAGGTAGCAACTAAAGCCATCCCAAAGAAAAAGAAATACAAGAAAGCAAAATGACTGTCTGAGGAAGCTTTACAAATAGCTGAGAAAAGAAGGGAAGCGAAAGGCAAGGGAGAAAGAGAAAGAAACACCCAATTGAATGCAGAATTCCAGAGAACAGCTAGAAGAGATACGAATGCCTTCTTAAATGAACAGCGCAAAGAAACAGAAGAAAACAATAGAATAGGGAGGACCAGAGATCTCTTCAAGAAAATTGGAGATATGAAGGGAACATTTCATGCAAAGATGGCCATGATAAAGGACCAAAATGGCAGGCACCTAACAGAGGCAGAAGAGATTAAGAAGAGGTGGCAAGATTACACAGAGGAACTATACAAGAAAGAGCTTAACGTCCCTGATAACCACGATGGAGTGGTCACTGACCTCGAGCCTGACATCCTGGAATGTGAAGTCAAATGGGCCTTAGGAAGTCTTAGCAACAACAAAGCTAGTGGAGGCAACCGTATTCCAGCTGAGCTATTCAAAATTTTAAAAGATGATGCAGTAAAAGTGCTACACTTGATATTCCAGCAAATTTGGAAAACTCAACAGTGGCCACAGGATTGGAAAAGGTCAGTTTACATTCCGATGCCAAAGAAGGGCAATGCCAAAGAATGTTCAAACTACCGCACCATTGCACTCATTTCACACGCTAGCAAAGTTATGCTCAAAATCCTACAAGCTAGGCTCCAGCAGTATGTGGACCGAGAACTACCAGAAGTACAGGCAGGATTTCGAAGAGGGAGAGGAACTAGAGGTCAAATTGCCAACATACACTGGATCATGGAGAAAGCTAGGGAGTTCCAGAAAAATATCTACTTCTGCTTCATTGACTATGCTAAAGCCTTTGATTGTATGGATCACAACAAATGGTGGCAAGTTCTTAAAGAGATGGGAATACCAGACCATCTTATTTGTCTCTTGAGAAACCTATATTTGGGTCAAGAAGCAACAGTGAGAACTGGACACGGAACCACTGATTGGTTCAAAATTGAGAAAGGAGTTCGGCAAGGCTGTATACTGTCGCCCTGCCTATTTAACTTATATGCAGAACACATCATGAGAAAGGCGGGGCTGGATGACTCAGCAGTTGGAATTAAGATTGCTGGGAGAAATATCAACAACCTCAGATATGCAGATGATACCACTCTAATGGCAGAAAGTGAAGTGGAACTAAAGAGCCTCTTGATGCGGGTGAAGGAGGAGAGTGCAAAAGTTGGCTTGAACCTCAAAATGAAGAAACCTAAGATCATGGCATCCGGTCCTCTCATTTCCTGGCAAATAGATGGGGAAGAAATGGAGGTAGTGACAGATTTTATTTTCCTGGGCTCCAAGATCACCACAGATGGGGACTGCAGCCAAGAAATTAAAAGACGCTTGCTCCTGGAGAGGAAAGCTATGGCAAATCTAGACAGCATACTAAAAAGCAGAGACATCACCCTGCCGACAAAAGTGCGTATAGTCAAGGCTATGGTTTTTCTGTTTGCAATGTATGACTGTGAAAGCTGGACCATAAGGAAGGCTGACCACCTTGAAGTGGATTGAGGCCTTTGAATTGTGGCGCTGGAGGAGACTCCTGCAAGTCCCTTGGACAGCAAGGCAATCAAACCGGTCAGTGCTAGAGGAGATCAACCCAGACTGCTCTTTAGAAGGCCAGTTACTGAAGATGAAACTCAAATATTTTGGCCACGTAATGAGAAGGAAGGACTCCCTGGAGAAGAGCCTAAGGTTGGGAACAATAGATGGCAAAAGAAAAAGGAGACGGCAGAGGATGAGTTCGCTAGATGGAGTCATGAAGCCGTTGGTGTGAGCTTGAGTGGACTCCGGGGGATGGTGGAGGACAGGAAGGCCTGGAGGAATGTTGTCCATGGGGTCTTGATGGGTCGGACACGACTTCATGACTAACAACAACGACGACTCAAATACAACTTTGGCCTGCTTATTACCCACTGATATTTCAATCAATAAGTGAATAAAAGTTGTATGTTAAGAATGAGCTTGGTATAGTTCCAACTAGTCTACATTTCTCAGTCTTTCTTGGGACTAGATTAAAAAGATGACCCTAATTGCACCTGGTGGCCTAGGTTTCAGTTGGAAAAGTTCAGCAAAGGGGTGGGGGGTATAGCAGAGGTGTATCAAACAGTATGGGCTTAACAACCTCTTAGCAATGTGCTGCTCTTGATTTCTAGTGTAGAACTGACACTTCTCAGTGCCCTTCACCTTTCTGAGACCTCTCCAAATTCTTAAGGAAGTTCAAAAAGGGGAGATCTTAAAGCAACTCTACACATGTCAGAAAGCCTTAAGACTGCCCTTGTGCCACTACAGGGGACTGATGCACACACTTCTGCAGCTGAAAAAAATTAAAAAGATGACCCTAATTGCACTTTAAAAAAAAACTAAAAAAAAAAAATTAAAAAACAGCAGCAAATAATCAAAATGGAGACAGGAGGAATAAGACCAGGTTACTAGTACTTCAGGTTTTGGGTCCTCCTCCATCTCCCCTAAGATGTGTGGTGATGGCAACGAAGTAGGACATGTTAACCTCAACTGGGCCCTCAGTGCCCTGTCCCATGTACTTAATTGCTTTCCTTGTGGGTCCACGGGCTGTGGTCTCCCATGACACTGCCACAACACTATTCTTAGGGAGAGTTAGTCGCATCACTTGGAGGGTCATATCAATACTGACAGATTTTGCAGAGGTGGGTCCATCCGCCTCCCTTTGCCAAATGGTGCTGTCTTCCATGAACAGAAAGGAGAATTGATGAAGGAATGTCTCTTCCCCTGTATGCCCTCACACCCCTTAAGATTGGCAGGGGAGGCCTTATTCCGGGAACGTTCTTAGAGGGAGGTACGGAGGGTATCCACTTTTCTTTTCCTTTTTTTTCCTAGGCAACACAGCACTCACTTACGCTTGTGCTGGAGGCTATGTGGATGTTGTGAAAGCCCTTTTGGAGTCTGGCGCTAGTATTGAGGACCATAATGAAAATGGCCACACTCCTCTTATGGAGGCAGGGAGTGCTGGACATGTGGAAGTTGCCAGAGTGCTGTTAGAAAATGGCGCTGGAATCAATACCCATTCCAATGAATTTAAGGAGAGTGCACTTACACTGGCTTGCTATAAAGGTATAGTATTGATATCTTACAGTTGTAACCGTTCATTAAATAAGCTAACGGTACTCTTCAACAAAAATGGGAAAGCCTTAGTCTTTTTAATTTAAGATATTATTATGATTCACTTGAAACATCTTAATCTGCCTTGCCTTTGTACCTTTGTCAAAACTGATAAAGTGACATTCTGTTGTATTAATCCCACTATTGGAAATTATTATTTGCTCTTCATTAGCAATTTATGACTTTCATTCTCTCAGAAAAATAGCAGCTTAAATTGCATGTTTTTAGACTGAAATAGGTTACAAAATAAACTGTAAAATTTATTTGTAGGATTTAATATGTTCAAGAATTCTTATGGGGTAGGGAATGTATTTACTGTCCATGCTATACTTCTTTTCCTTTCCACAAGGGGTTTGGATATAGCATTTCCCAGGACTAGAATAAAATTGAAGCAATACATGAATTCTAATGCAAATTGCCTATGTTTACAATCACATAAGAGACTTCTGTCTCTAACCTGTGAAAGATAGGCAATGTAGGCATAAAGCTGCTAAAGATTAATGGGTATACAAATGCATTTTATAAAAGCTGCTTCAGCTTCCTGTCTTTCTGAAGAGGAAATAATTTTGAAATATAAAGAATGTTTTAATGTGTCTATGTTTGAGATGAAGAAAGGTCTTACAACTCCTCACATGTCCTAGCATGGTTGACTGGGGGATGCGGGGAGTTGTAGGAATGTTTTCTATCTAAACACGTATACAATTGCTTTTAAGTCCTTTTTTCTGAAGGTTTCTCAGCTTTCTTCGTCATGGTCTCTGTGCTTCACATGTATGGGGTACTGCGTCTGCATTAAAAAAAATGGAGGGTCCACAACTTCAAAAGAGGCTGCAAAATAACCACCCACCAACCAGGCAAGCCAAAACCATCCTCTGTGGCTTGGGAACCATGGCTACCTCTGATATGCCTAAAATGTCTAAGGAGAGGACAAAGCACCTCAAGCTCCAGGGCTTTAAGCAGGCTAAAAAGGCTTGAAAAAACCCAGCTTTGCTCTGCTGCCTGTTTCAAGCATTGCCAATTCAATCAGCCTCCATTCCTATGTTTCCAGATAGATGGGTGCAAACACTGATTTGATCAGCCTCCATTCCTACATTCCCAGCTGGACCGGTGCACACACTGTCCTTCATCATGGTCTTTGTGCATTCACACATATGGGTGCTGTGCCTGTGCAGTGCTCTATTTGGGAAGATTTCTCTAGCTTAGCCTAGAACTTTCTGTGCGGGCCCCGCCCCCTCCCTGCCCATATAATTAGTGATCTCCCGCCATTTTCTCACTTTGCTAACTACCGATGCACCCCTCACTGGCTGGGGTGTTCATTCCACTGGCTGTGTACAAGGTACTCCTCATTCTATAGAATGTGCTGGTCGGCAGAAAAACCCAGATAGTCTTGGACAACACTGGCCCTCTATTTCTATATCAACAAACAGGGTGAAACAAGATCCATCTTACTGACTTAGTTAACCCTGTGTATATGGGACTGGTACATTTGTGATGATGGCAAAAGGAGAAGGGGATGGCAGAGGATGAGGTGGCTAGATGGAGTCAATGGGCAGTGGATGTGAGCTTGGGTGGACTCCGAGAGATGGTGGAGAACAGGAGAACCTGGAGGAATGTCGTCCATGGGGTTGTGATGGGTCAGGCATGACTTTGCAACTAAACAACAATAACATTTGCGACATCACCTTAGACAAGATCGACCATCTTTAGGGCAGAATGTCCATAGACTGTTATGAGACATTACCTTAAACACTCTTAAACCAGTATGTCCTTAGACCCATGTATGACTGGCAAGATACTCAACTGTAACCCATTCCAAGTCACAAATAAGGAACTCGGCACAGACACCCGGAATAGCATCTTCACTACATGGGGAACCCCATGAGCAGACCTCTTCACTACAAAAGAGAATCCTGCATATAGGATGTCAAATGCCGGAGTCAACAAGGTTACCAGGTTATATGCCTTTTGCATCCCTTGGATGGGAACTGTCCCCTTTGCTTCTCTACACTCCTTCTCATCTCGAAGACAATAATGAATATGTGGACTGGCTATACATGAGCCACCTTGATAAAACCATGGTGCCTCAGGCAGCCCTCCAATTTCACCACACAGGAGACAGCAATACACCCTGACAGTCAAAGACTTCGCATTACAGTATGTCAGATCCCTTATTTAATGACCATAACTACTACCCTGCTCCCTTCCAACTATAAACTCCTACTCCTATCCAAACTCCTACTCCTATCCAAACTCCAGTGAAAGTGCAATTCCAGTGTGAATCTCTGCTAATAACTTCCTTGTGATCACCCAATTACTTGACAGTTGCAGCCATTGACTTGGGCCCTCTTGAGAGGTTTCAGAGCCTGGATCTTCCTGTCCATTCCATCCTCCCCTGTAGGAACCTGTTCATGGTGTTACACTCACTAATGAGCCACCATTCAAAGTCAGTTCATAAATTCTCTGCCCACTACAGAATGATCCTCCAACTTCACTTACCTTGAGGAGATGATACTCCATACTGGTTTGTCTGTTCTCTAAATCTCTTCCTCCTTCTATGTGATTGAAGAAATAGTGATCTTGAAACTACAGTGTACCTTGGTTCAAGAACTCGATCCATTCCACAACTCTGGTTGTGACCCGAATTGGTCACGAACCATGTCAAATTCCCCCAGAAGGTTCAATCTAAATAAGGTTAATCCGTTTTGACGCCTATGAACGTGATCATGAGCCGAATTTGGTCATGAGCCAAGTCAGGTTTCCCCATAAGGTTCAATGTAAATAAGGTTAATCCATTCTGTAAATATTTTTTTTAATCACAAAAATTTGAAACAGAGTAACAAAGAACAACAAAGTACAGTAGAGAACAGCAACCTAGGTGGTGGGGAGGTTATTGTTTGGAGGGAGAGTCCAAATGATAATTGTGCGATAGTGACCAAGCTCGGGGGGTGGAGTGGCCATGATCATGATCATGCTCGGGGGGGGGGGAGATGGGCGTGATCACACTCGTGCAGGGAAGATGGCCGCGATCATGGTCGTCACCTGATGCAGAGTTTATTGGTCCTGAATCCAGTCGTTTGCAAAGCAAAACCTTTGTTCACCAAATATATGGACCACTCCAACAACGATTTGGTTCATACCCAATACCTTGACCATGGGATTGTACAGATGATTAAATTAGTATACCAGTGGGGCTACCAGACACTCTCCATCAAGGTGATATTGGCATCTACGGCACTCCAAGAGAGACCACCATTCCATGTGTTGTGCAGACCAGATATGTGCACAGCAACATCCACTTTCTTCTACCACTGTTGACTTCATATTAGAGCCAGACAGGACTACACCCTAGTTCAGGATGTGTTGTCATCTATTTTTATGTACAACACCCCCCACCTCCTTTAATGGTAAGCTTGCAAGTTACCCATATGTGTGATGCACAGAGACCGCAATGAAGAAAGGCAGGTTGCTTACCTGTAACAGTCATTCTTCAAGTGGTCATCTGTGCTTTCACACAGTCCACCCACCAGCCCCATGTCAGTGTTGGTGTATGAGTATAATGATAGGACATTTATGGACATACACACAGGGCAAACGATGGTCTCCAGTTGGACTGCGAAAATGGCAGGAACCTGCCTACCCAAGTAATGAAAAAAGGAGTGGGGCTCCCGCCAAACATTCTGAGCTTAGCTAGCGGAATCTTCCTGACTGAGGCACTGCACGGGTGCAGCACCTCACACATTCATATGTGTGAATGCATAGATGACCACTTGAAGAATGACAGTTACAGGTAAGCAACCTACCCCTTTGGTTTTCATACTTCAGATTTGAAAGCCCTATATGTATTACTACCTAGTTTGAAAAAATTACATCAGGCCATTTAGTTTCCCTTACTGTTATACAGACTGCATTTTTAAGTTCTTCACAATACCAAATGCTTTAATTTCTGGTGTTAAATGAATGACTTTAGACAGTTCTCACTCATCTGACATTCACAGCCTGTTTGAGAATTTTGCTACATTTACTTTGATAAAGTTAAGAAGGTACATACATTTCAAAGAAAGTGGTTATCTTTGACGGAATTCTAATTTTCAGAGTGGTTATTTTGTTTGTTTGTTTCTAGGTCATTTAGAAATGGTGAGATTTTTACTGGAAGCAGGTGCAGACCAGGAGCATAAAACAGATGAAATGCATACTGCATTGATGGAGGCATGCATGGTAAGTAACATGGCAATATGGTACCCAGACATTATTCCACTTTTCTGGTTTGGCACAAGAGTGTCATACAAGAGAATTTTGTATTTTGACTTTGTGGTAAAGTCTCTCCTTTAAGATTGATAAAGGACTGATTTCACAAAGTCTTCTAAATATTGGGTCAGGGTCTGTGTTTGCCTGGTGGCTTACTGTCTTGTTTGTAGGGGGAAAAATTATTTATGCTGTATTTGTCTTCTAGAGTTACTTGTGGAGTTCCAGCCCCGGTTGGCTAGATAGAACCCTGCTGTCTAGGTTCTGCTCCTGAGTAAAGCATGCTCTTGTTAGTCATGGAATAATGCTCTAAAGCGTATATGATACATGTATATCTGATGCAACTCAGAATGCATGGTACCTAGGAATACAATTTTTAAAAGAGTTAAACTAAAAAGTAAAACTGTATCCACAGTGGAGATCTAATCTTGCATTTCATGACTTAAATTCACAGTGGCCAGGGTTGTACGAGGGGAAATAAGCTACAGTGACTGGTTGCATGTTGCAGGAATTGACATAATTATTCTTAGCAGTATGGCTTGTCTTCTTCTGTGAACCTGTCTAGTGGGGCTTTATGTCATGAATAACTAGCCTCCTAGAATGCAAGTGACTCTGTGTAGTGAATTGGTGGACAGGTTTGGACTTTATGGTAAGCCCCCCTGCAAATAAGCCACCATGGGTTGACTTTTTGCTGAATAACTCTCAGTACACCTGACAGATGATAGGGTTTGATATAGCTTGTCCTTGTCCTCACTTCCCCCATAGTCTTCTCACTTGCTCTGGCACACTTCTGAAGTGCCTTTGCAGCAGAGTGCCTCATTTTCTCAGTCTGTATCACAGCACCCTTTCTGCGGTTGTTCCACTGTGGTTGTTGTCTTCTAAAAGAAACCCCACATTGGCTTACCAAATGGAATTAATTTTCTGATCCTTTATGAACCAGGTGTTTGCCAGTTGATTTTATTTTATTTTTCAGGGACTTTCATATTGCACAAAGCTTCCTCTCTGATATTTAGCCAAGTGTTCCCTCTATTCCCATTTTTCTTTTCTGCATTTACATTGCTAGCTAGCAAACATTTTTCTTAAAAATACAGTAAAACCTTGGATTGCGAGCATAATTCATTTTGGAAACATGCTTGTAATCCAAAGCACTTGTATATCAAAGCGAATTTCCCCATAAGGTTCAATGTAAATAAGATTAATCTGTTCTGTAACTTTTTTTTTTTTAATCACTAAAATTTGAAGTGGGCACGCTCAGCGGGGAAGGCGGGCATGATTGCAGGCATGCTCAGGAGGGGGAGATGATTTATTTATTTATTTAAAATATTTATATGCTGTCCTAATCACAAAAAAACCTCAGGACGGCTTACAATGTAATAGCATAAATAAAATCCCTGACCCACACTGCCTCCTAATATCTTTCATGGAGGGTTCCCGGAGGTGAGCCTCTGCTGCTGAGCTCAAGGGGTGGGAGGGCAAATATGGAAGAAGGTGTTCCTTCAGGTATCCAGGTCCCAAGCCGTTTAGGGCTTTATAGGTAATAACCAGCACCTTGAATTGAGCTCAGACTCACTGTACTCACACCCCCAGCGAGAGAGAGAAGGACCAGTGCTCAGTTGTGACGTGATGCTCTGCAGGCAAAGCTCACGTAATACTTGTTCTGCAAGACATCACTTGTTTATCAAGTTAAAATTTAGAAAAACTTTTTGCTCGTCTTGCAAAACACTTGCAGACCAAGTTACACGCAATCCAAGGTTTTACTGTTATAAAATAAAATATAAAATCAGGTTCACTTTACTCTAAAATTAAGCACACTCACTCTCAAAGTGCCCCTACCTCTCTGGTATTTAGGCAAATATTTGCAAGTTCAAGGATAAGCCACTTCAAGTCATATATTGCTGTCTAGCAAATAACTTTAAAAAATGTTACTTCTTGTTACTCTAAAAGAAGCACATCTGCTTCCAAAGTAAGATTTTATATGCGTTACAGAGCAGCCCGGCCGCCCCTTGAGATCGGCGGGAGAGGCCCTTCTCCGGGAACCCTCCATGAAAGAAATTAGGAGGGTGGGTACTCGGAGGAGGGCTTTCTCTGCGGTGGTGCCTAAGTTATGGAATGCGCTCCCCAGAGAGGTCCGCCTGGCACCATCGTTATTTGTTTTTCGGCACCAGGCGAAGACCTTTTTATTTAAGCAGCATTTTAACGGTTAATATTATTGGATTTTATCTGGCCAGGGCGGCTTATTTTATATTGTATTTTTTGTATTTTTAATCTAATGTTTATATTTTTTAATTTAATATTATAATTATTTTTTTAATTTATTGTTCGGCGATCGGCCAAATGGGGCGGCATAAAAATGTTTTAATAAATAAATAAATAGAAATGTACACAACTGTCATGGCAAAGCAATCACATGGAAAACCTCATGGAAGTCTTAAGATAGTGACATTTGCTCTTGCACAGGGCTAAAAAGAAAAATTAAAAATTTGAGAATATGTTTTGGACACTTGGTGATATCTTTTTTAAAGGATTTTTGGAAACATTGTGTGAAAGCAGCTGAGAAAGGATAAGAGAGGCTGGTAGCAGCATGAATGAGATTGCAAAGAGTGGCAAGGGTTTTCACTGCTCTGACCAGGTAGCCCTCTAGCCATTCTGGCAACCCATGATAAAATAACGCTGCTGAGTTGGTATGATGCCAAAAGCTACCACGGGTATGACCAGCCCTAATCCTAAGCCAGGATTCTCAGCATGCCTTGCTCCTGAAAAATAAGCCACTCATCAGAAATGACAAGATAAATGGCTATCCTTGAATTTATATTACCAACAGGGAAGGTGCAGTAGATAAAATAGATGCTATAGAAACTATTATCTGTTATTGCTGAGAAATCATGGAGGACAAGAGAAGTGCCAGAAAAGGGCTACTGTTGTCCCCATCTTCAAAGAAGAACCTAGGAACTACAGACCAGTCAGTCTGACATCAATCCCTGGGGAAATTCTAGAGCAGATTATACAGCAGCCGCACTGCAAACTCATTGAAAACAATGCAGTAATTGGTGGAAGACAACATGGATTTCTTAAGAATAAATCCTGCCAGATTAATCCAGTATTTTTTGAACGGGTAATCTACCTGATGGACTGTGAGAACTGTGTGGATGTGATCTATTTTGGGACTGCAGGTGGCGCAGTGGTTTAAACCACTGTGCTGCTGGGCTGGTAGATCAAAAGGTCGCTGGTTTGAATCTGTACAACGGGGTGAGTTCCCATTGCTCCATCCCAGCTCCTGCCAACCTTGCAGTTAGAAAGCATGCAAATGCAAGTAGATAAAAAGGTACCACTTCGGTGGGCAGGTAACAGTGTTCCGTGCACTTCGGTGTTTAGTCATGCCGGCCACATGACCACGGAGACTGTCTGCGGCTCCCTCGGCTAGGAAACGGAGATGAGCACCGCCCCCTAGAGTCAGGCATGACTGGACTTAATGTCAAGGGGAAACCTTTACCTTTACATTTAATCTATTTTGACTTCAGGAAAGCTTTTTACAAAGTGTCCCATGATACCCCTATCAGCAAACTAGCTAAAAGATCCACTATCAGGTGGATCTACAGAATTGGACTTAGTGCACTCATCAATGGCACCTTCTCAAACTGTGGAGAGGTTACAAGTGGGGTACTGCAAGGTTCAGTCCTGGGCCCAGTGCTCTTCGACATTTCTATTAATAATTTGGATGAAGAAGTGCTGGGAAGGCTTAAGAAATTTGCAGATGACACAAAACTGGGTAGGATAGTTAATATCCTAGAAGATTCAACGTGATCATGAAAGGTTGGAGCACTGGGCTAAAAACAACAGAATGAAATTCATTAGGAAGAAATGCCAATTTCTGCACCTAGGAAAAATAAACCCAAATTCCTTGTTACAAGAGAGGAATACTTGATTTAACAATAGTACAAGTGGGAAGGATCTTGGAATTGTTTTAGATCTCAAGCTGAATATGAGTCAACAATGTGACATGGCTGAAAAAACGACAAATGCTTTTTTAGGCTGTATTAATAGAAGTATCATTTCCAAATCCCATGAAGAACTGGTTCCCCTTTACTTAGCACTGGTTAGACCTTATCTAGAATATTGTGTTGAGTTCCAGGCACCACAATTTAGGAAAGATGCAGACAAACTGGAAAGGATTCAGAGGAGGCCAACAAGGATGATCTAGAAAAAATGCCCTATGAGAAGAGATTGAAAGAATTGGCCGTGTTTGTCATGTCACATTCTCTTCTCAATCATTGCAAAGTGCAAGATAAAGAATAACAGGCCCAAGTTACAGGAAGCCAGATTCTGACAAGATATCAAGGAAATTTTCCTGACTGTTAGACAGTATGACAGTGGAACCAGTTATCCTAGGAGGTTGTGGGCTCTCCCATACTGGAGGCATTCAGGATGCAACTGGACAGCCACGAGAAGAGGGATGGTTTAACTGGGAGTCCTGCACTAAGCAGGTGGTTGGACCTCTGTCCCTCTGGCTTCTTCCAACTCTACTGTTCTATGATTCTAGGACACTTGGGTCACATGATGCAGCAGCTCATAGGCCCCCAGCCGTGGTGTTTTGTCTCGTTGTCTGAACCTGGCTCAACCTTGTCATGGTGGTTTAAGTTTCACAAAGAAGCCACAGAGAGAACCTGTGACTTGTTTTAAGGCTGTCCATACCCATGGTGGGTTGTTGAGTAATCCAAACACAAGAGAATCATCATACCATGGGATGCCAAGCAAAAAACCCTCCGAGCTGTCAGTGCCATATTTATCCACCCTCATGATTGTCCCTCTGCTGATACCCAAATGGCAGTTTGGAAAGACCATCTGTTCCCCATCTGTTTTGTTTTGCTTTTTCCCCAGGGCTTCTGGTATACACAAATGGGGCCATTTTAAGAATTATTATTTTCCAGTGCATTTACAAATGCTTTTTTGCCTGTCCAATATGAGTAGCCTTGCCTTGTCAATTTTCATATATCTTTCACAGTGATAGAAGCAGATAGTGGGAGGGACTGTATTTCCCATTTGGCATTGTAACCCTCTAGCTCTTAAATGTTGAATTGACACTTGTCAGTGAACCTCCGCCTTTTCAACCATTTTTAGAGGACGTTCACAAGTCTCAGGTCAGCACTTAAAAGGGAAGGATTACAGTGTCAACTGGGAGGTATGCCTTTCTCACTTTAGTACTCCTTTGACAGCTAAAATATACAAGGCAGTTAAGAAGGCAAGGATACACAAATCAGGCAGGTGAAAGTGTGGTCTTTTGAAGGAACAGGGAAAAATAGCTTGGAAGCACCATTTTTTAAGAGCCACAGAAAGAAAAGATAAAATTCTCCTCCAAGGCTCCTGGGATAAGTGCTGGAGCCCGCTGGAGGACTGCTGGGGAAGGAAGGGAAGAACAAATTATGGTAAGCCCAATCATCTGTCAGCTGTGGCTTAATGTGGCTTGTGAACCTACTGAGAGTATGTGATATATTCATGTAGCACAGCAGCAGCCATTTTTTTTTATATATGTAAACTTGTTTGTGAGTTTACAAATTTAAAAGATAATGTAACAACTGTAAGTGAGAAAATACTTCCTTCTGGGCTTTGTCATCTTATGTTATTCAGGATGTGTAAATGAGCCATTTCAAACTTCCTCAGGGCTTGCTGAGAATGTGGCAAACCTAAACCTTCTAGTATTAAAGCTAGTACTTCCTGGGCAGTGCATTGCAGGAAGTATTGTATAATATTTTGTTTCACATTATAAAATAATTAATTGAGGGTAGGGAACTTATTATCTAGCCCTTGTGTATTTACTTTTTTTTTGCTTTCTAGGACGGGCATGTGGAAGTTGCTAGGTTACTCCTTGATAGTGGTGCTCAGGTGAACATGCCTGCTGATTCCTTTGAATCTCCATTAACATTGGCAGCTTGCGGTGGGCATGTAGAGCTGGCTGCCTTATTAATTGAGCGAGGGGCTAACCTGGAGGAGGTAAATGATGAAGGTTATACACCACTAATGGAAGCTGCCCGAGAGGGTCATGAGGAGATGGTGGCTTTACTTCTAGGTCAAGGTAGGTATAAGAATACTACACGCACCACTGAAGGCATCTGAACATCATACAATGTATCTTTTAGGAAACTAAATTGTTTGCCAGTTTTTGTTTTATAATCTATAGTATACAATATTAAATATTATACAAAAATTCCTATCTGTCTTCTGGCTGTATGATTAATATGCAGGTCACTACTAAACAATGACAGCAGAAAATGTATTCCTTTGAAAGTCATTAGCCACACAGTCAGGACCCTTAATTTATATTCTTTCAATAGGTACACTTGGCAGACACTGAAGGTTCTACGAAAGTAAGGAATGCCATCTGGAATCATGAAAAGCTATGTAAATAGCATGGGACTATTTAAATTGAGTTGAGAAATTTGGCTGGAGAAGCATTGTTATTATGTGCAGTAGTCAAATGATGTTAAACTGTTGCTAAGTACTGTTCTACAAACATAATTTGCACTGATATGTTTTTCTCCAAGGAGCCAACATCAATGCTCAGACAGAAGAGACCCAAGAAACTGCTTTAACCCTAGCATGCTGTGGGGGCTTTCTGGAAGTGGCTGACTTCCTTATTAAAGCAGGAGCTGATATAGAACTTGGCTGTTCTACCCCCTTAATGGAAGCTGCTCAGGAGGGTCACTTGGAGCTAGTTAAATATTTATTAGCTGCAGGTATGAGATGGTTCTCTCTATGGGTTTATTGTACAAGTTTAAAATTGAAGCACAGCCTGGGAGTGTTGATATCAAAGGGCTGTATTCCATGGTGACTTAGTGAACTTCTTTATCATATTCTGTGTGTCCTTATGTACAGTAACATGTCATATACACAGCTGTGCAAATAATTATAACAAAGTATGTTTAGAACATAATACTCAGACCTTTTAATACCTAAGTATTTTCTACTGGTTAAGTAGCATAGAATATCACTGGAGAGTGACATCCTTTGCATATTTTCTAAGCTTAATATACTTCATGCTGCTTCAGGAGCTAATGTGCATGCAACAACAGCAACAGGAGACACAGCACTGACATACGCATGTGAGAACGGTCATACAGATGTAGCAGATGTGTTGCTCCAAGCAGATGCAGACCTGGTAAGTTGTCGAGTAAAGCGTTGGGTTTTTCCTGTGTTGCGTAGTTTTTGGCTTTTTAAAAAAGATTATATTAATTTAGGCTTATTTGCTGCTTTATCTGCCTCAGCAGTAGGCTCTCAAAATAGGTTGTACCCCAATGAATAATAAAATTTATTAAACATAAAACTAGTTTAAAGATGTTAAATGAAACAAAATGGACATCTGAACACAGCCAACCAAAATAGCCAAAGTTACAAAAAGCAACTCCCAGCATTGTAAGATAGCACTAAAAGAAGGTTTTAATAGCAGCAGCATCAATAACACAAGAGCACAATTTTAGCAAGTTTTTTGAGGATCAGGAAAAACCCACCCAGGCAAACTTCCTTAGGGAAGGGAGTTCGGTGGGTGCCTCAGCTGATAAATGCTAGTAATTCATTGTGGTTTCTGTGCATCACACATATGGGTGCTTCTCAACACAGTGTCTCCCTCAGGAAGATTTCTCTAGCTTAGCCTAGTACTTTCCATGGTGCCCTGCCCGCCTTCCACCCTGTATATAAGGGCAGGCTCCAACCATTTTGACAGTTTGCTATGGACCGCTGTTTGCCAGTGCATCAGGATCTCCAGCGTTCATTGCCTCTCTTTTGCCTTTATGATATTTTTTTGAACTTTCCTATACTATTACACTCTTGTGATCTAATTTCTAATTTCTACTTTCCAATTTCTATTTTCTTGCTACCCTTCTACAACCTATCAGAGCCCCTCTTCCCCCCTCCACACATCTCATCTCTCATTTAAAAAAAAAACTGTGCGTGCGTGCACACACACACACACACACACACCTATCGTGTTCTTCTGTATTCCTATCTATTCTATATTCTCTCGATGTCACCCAGCAAAGCGGCCTTCTGAAAGTGTGCAGGTTGCAGAGTGAAAATGCCATCCTCTGATGGACATATTCTATGCTTGTTTTGCCTCAGTGAAGAGCACCAGGTTGATAAGTGTAAGTGCTGCCAGGCATTTACTAAACAGGCATGTAGAAATAGAGCTGGCAGGTTTCAGATGGAGATGTGGGATCGGGCTCTCAGCAAGATGAGCAAAGTGACCGAGGAAGGAGGTCAACGTGCCTTGATCTCGATGGAACCCTTGAGGAAACACCCTCCCACTGACACCTCTGAGAAAACCAGGAAGAACCGGAGGGTCTAAAAAAAGCAAGGAGAAACTTACGCATCTCTGTTCCAAGACCTCAGGAACGAAAAAAAGGCCAAAAAGACCGAAGGCCACAAGTGTTCCGAACGTCATTGTTCCAATCCAGAGGAATGTTCTCCATTTGTGAGGGCAAAGACTGTGGAGCCTTTGGGACCTACATCTCCTCAAGATGCTCCTGTCCGGTCATCAACAGTTCCAACCTCTCCGACACTACCCCATGGTAGAGATCAGCAGTCGCTTGCGCACTGCAATGTTGAATGAACACAGCCTGCACATAGAAAGACCTGCACCTGGCTCAGGCGATGAAATAAGGGAGTCGCCTAACCCTCCATGAGAGAGAACTCCTCTTCATCAGGAGCCAGACCCTATACCACCAACGCCAGGTCTCTCCTATGGTCCGCCTTCTGCTCACCCTTTGCCGATCTCATCTCACAGATTGGTTCCCCTAGATCCACTCCAATATCGACACCGCAGAGGTCACTTCTGGTACCCACCGCCAAGGCACTATTATCAAGATTACCCATGGGGACCGGTAGCTGATCCTCACTACACCTGGCTGCCTCTGTCTATGGCAACACACTCATGCTGGGCCCCTATGAGATCTCTGCAGCAAGAGGAAGGTGAACCCATACACCCTAACTCCGTTCCAACTACCTCAGTTTCCACTGAGCCAGAACCAAAAGACTCAAACCCAACGTGATCGATTTCAACAAGAACACAGACTATGGACTCTACACTCAGCTACCTCATATCAAGCACACTGGATCTAGATCCTGCGATCCAACAGATCCTTACAGGCTCCCACAAACCTAACACTAGAACGTCCTATACTGCAAAATGGACAAAGTTAAAACAATTTGCTACTCTCCATTCCTTTGATCCCTCTTTGGCTTCAATTGCTAATATTTTGCAGTTTTTGTATGCAATGCATACATCTGGGCAAAACCCACTTCAATATGGGTGTATTTGTCTGCGATCTCTGCATTTCATGGACTGATTGATGGGCATATGGTTTTCTCTCATCCCCTCTCTTGTCAATTTCTGAAAGGACCAATGAACCTTCAACCTCCAGCTCGACCTTTGGTTCCATCCCGGAGCCTCTCAGTAATGCTACATGTGCTAATGAAGCATTTGAGCTGCTAGCCATGGTAGACCTTTAACTCCTATCTTGGAAGGTCTCCTTTCTGGTGGCTGTAACCTTGGCTCGGAGAGCAAGCAAACTCTGCACGCTATGAGTGGACTCTCCATGCCTGATGTTCCACAGAGTCAAGGACATGTTATGGACTGATCCATCCTTTCTTCCCAAGGTCTCCTCATCATTTCATATCAATGAGGAGATAGTCTTACTAGCCCTCTTTCCTTTACCTGCAACAGACTTCAAGAAGGCTCTGCACACTCTCGACCTTCATAGAGCACTATTATTCTATTGGTTCCAAACAGAAGGTATTTGCAAGACAAATTGTCTCTTCATGAAATATGCAGACTACTCTAAAAGAGACCTGATCGGATCCCAGAGATTAGCCCACTGGATAGTTGATACCATCACATTGGCATACCAGCTTTCCTCCTTGTAACTACCAGAGAGGCCAAAGACACTCTACAAGGGCTATATCGGCTTCCTCTGTGCTCCATGTGGGACTTCCGATTGAAGAACTATGCAACGTGGCAACTTGGTTGATGCCATCAACATTGATTAAACACTACAAATCGGACATTAAAGTGAGGAAGGACTGCTCCTATGGAAGGGCAATACTTGCCTCCATACTGCAATAACTGTGACATCTATTTATTCTCCCGCCATTCCTTGCAGGGCTATGGACTCAAATCATAGTGGACTGTATCTGTTTGGACTCAGATCATACTGGACTGTACCTGTTTAGCTCAGGTCTAAATGCATAATGTACATACCAGTTCGATCTGTTCTGTCTGTGGACTTTAATATACTTTTTTGCATATAAAACACGTTCTCATATTCGATGATTGAAAGGTTACTTCCAATATTATACACCTAATTGACACCTCCCACCTCCATAGAGGATTGCTTGCTAGTCACCCATCTGTGTGATGCCCAGAAACCACGATGAAGAAATGCAGGTTGCATACCTGTAACTGTAGTTCTTCGAGTGATCATCTGTGTGTTTACACAACCCACCCAATAGCCCAGCATTGGTGTCGGTGGTTAAAGGCATGATCTATGTATCCTTTCGTTTTGATTTCTTCCCCCCTCTCTCGCTATATATATATATATATATATATATATATATATTTCAGCTAATACACATGTAACTACACTGGATGCAAATGCTGGTCTCAGGGAGCCCACCCTTATATACAGGGAGGGAGTGGGCAGGGCTCCATGGGAAGTTCTAGACTAAGCCAGACAAATCTTCCTGAGCGGGAGGCACTGTGCAGGCACAGCACCCATATGTGTGAATGCACAGATGACCACTCGAACAACAGTTATAGGTATGCAGCCTGCATATTTGTTGCACGCAATATGGACATACTGGAATGAAGGGACACACAACGCACATTTTCCTTAGCAGATATTAAGATACACCTTAGCACTCAATTTTATGATCCTTGTGATAGATGCATATAAGCCTTGAAACTCAGATTTACAGTATCCAGTGGTAGAAGCAAGAGACAGTGACATGGATCTCGTCAGCATACTGCATTTTCTCTAGATGGGAATTTTCAGCCATCTAGATTCAGCTCCAGGGAGGGACTGCTGTAAATCCATACCCAGCGTCCTCTCTGTTCACTTTTGAGGCCCAATTGTGGCCTGGTGGCAGCTACACAGCTATGAGGGGAGTGAGTGGGCAGTGGCTTATCCTTCAAGATTGCAGAATCTCAGATGGCAGTGTCAGGAGAACATCAAATTGTTCCCTTAATTATGCTGCAAATTGTTCCCTTAATTATGCTGGAGCTATAGACACTTGAGAAATTTAACTTTTGTGAATTCTGTGCAAACTGAGCTGTTCCATAACTCCTCAGCTACTGTGCACACCAGAATATAATTATCCTTTGGATTTTACAGTACAGCTTTTGGCTCAAAAACATGCCAAAATGTATCTTAATGCATATTTTATGATAACGTACATTTAGAAATACATACTCTTAAATAAATTTATGAATCAATTTGTAGATTAATGTATGCAAAATGGACATAAACTGGAAATAGACTGAAACATCCATAGCTAGGGGGACCTGATACCCATTTGGATATTTTTACTTTAGAGGGCATATCAGCTCTTTGAACTGAGCTGGTAGCCTTTGTTGCTTTTTCAGGGCTTTTTTTTCTGAGCCCTGGACTCTAATTTTGCACAAAACTACAGTTCAGTTTTGTACAACAGCTTTTAAAAGCCTTTTTTAAAGTCTTCAAGGAATTGTGCATTCTTTAAGCTGACTCAGGGAAATTCTTGGTTTTGTGAGCAAATGCGGCATTCAGTCCAAACATTTACCTGACCAAGTTTCTAAATAAGTGCTTATTCATTTAAAGTAAAAGCTTGAGTATAAACTCAATTTTTGGCTGACTTTGGTAAATGGACCAAAAAAACCTGTGGTTACCTGCCCTTCCTCTAGTTGACTTTGTGGCTGCAAAGTTAAGGCACTCCAGGCTTTCTTTGACCAAACAGCATCAATGAAAGCCCTAACATTGTAGCAATGCACCTGGCATTGTATCTAGAAATTCTGTCTTTCATTATCTGTGCACTTTTCTACTTGGAAGGAGAGTAGATGGTCACCAGTTTTTACAACACTTTCTTATTTGGATGCCTTTCTGAATCTTCTTCAAGATTACCCTCAGAATTTTGATCAGAGGAGTCATATCCCCATTACTAAATTACTTTTCAACCTAGTATTTTTCCTGAAGTGTTTTATCTATGTTTTGTTTTCTGATTCATTGGATTATATGCACTCTATGACACTCTATGACTTTTTTGAGTAAGGTCACATTCCTATTCATGTTTAGACAGAAAACTAATCCCAGAACTCCCAGAATTCTCCAGCCAGTGTGGCTGTCTGGGACATGCTAGGAATTTTAAGGCTTTGGAGATCTAGAAATGTTCCTTTAAAGATTGCGTAACTGTGCGTATTCAATACATTTTATTAGATAAAATGAAAAATGCAGATTAAACTAAAAATGTTTAAAACAATAAGGAATTTGATTTCCAAGATGCTTCTGTCTTAGCTTCTTCTCTCTTTCTAGGAACATGAATCTGAAGGAGGAAGGACTCCATTAATGAAAGCAGCAAGAGCAGGTCATGTCTGTACTGTCCAGTTCTTAATTAGCAAAGGTAGTTTTTGTGAACACTTTCACCTTTTTATTGTGTTGAGGTATTTTTGTTCAATTTGCTAATCATGAATAGTTGCTTTCACATTTTGATTAGAAATATTCATATGAAGTTTTTGAGTTGCATGATACATGCATTAACTTAACCATAATAGAAAATGAAGTAGTTCTAGGTTGTATAACACAATTTCAACTGGTATAAATTTTATAACCTAATAAACCAATGAATAGTCCAATTGCATCTTAATTTAGTAAACTATAATTAAGATAGATAGACTTACTTTTTTCTCCATAAATTAATGAAGCTTGAATAATACAGGAATTAATTATTTTCTCTCAAGTTACTTGCTTATGTGCCTTTTCAGCTGGAAAAAAATCTCTTGTTTTATTGTGCTAGTATTTATTTATTTATTTATATTTCTATACTGCTCAATGCCTGAAGCTCTCTGGCCAGTTCATGTATTTGCATCAAGGTACAAAACTGCAAATAATAAAACAGTCTAAAATTCCAGTGTACAAATTTCAAACAGCTTAAAAATTCCAATAGACACAAATATAAAATTGTTTAACAGTAAAACATTTCCAATACACTAGACTGAAAGAACAGATGACAGCACATCTTATATCCCACCTTTTTTCCTTTTAAGGAACTCAAGGCAGCTTACATAATGGTCCTCCTCTTGTCAGTCTCATCCTCACAACAACAACCTGTGACTGACCCAGATTTGCTCAATCCTGCATTCTTAACCACTATATCACACTGGCTGTCATGTGCCATTAAATGCCTGGGAATATAGAGCAGTTTTGACCTGACACTGAAAAGTTAGCAGTGTTGATGCCAGCCAGGCCTCAACAGGGAGACCATTCTACATCTGGAAGGAAGGGGCTCCACTGAAAAGGCCCTTTTACTTGTGACCTCTTTCTGCACCTCCCTTGGTGCATAACAATCAAGACATAGCAATCAAGACTTCTTCCAGAAGATCTAAGAAATCAAAGGGAAATTCAAACCTACACTAGGAATGCTAAAAGACAAGCAAGGGAACATACTATCCAACCAGGAGAAAATAAAGAGAACGTGGGAAGAATATACAGAGGAAGTATACGAAAGAGGTGAAAGGATGACAGACTTCTTCAAAGTAGAACCATATGAAGAACTGCCTACAATATTAGAAGACAAAATGAAATCTGCTCTGAAACCACCTGCAAAGAATAAAGCACCTGGAGTAGATACCAATAGAACTATTCCAAGCTGCAGAAAATTAATCCATCCAAATCCTAACAAAAATATGTCAACAAATATGTTAAAACAATGCCCCGTAGGCTGGAAACATTCAATACATATTCCAATCCCCTAAAAAGGAGATGCAAAAGACTGCAGCAATCATAGGACCATTGCATTAATTTCCCACACAAGCAAAGTGATGCTTGAAGTGTTGCAACAAAGACTACTACTCTATATAGAGTAAAGCCTTTGTGTGGATCATGAGAATCTACAGATGATCCTGAAAGAAATGGATGTGCCTCAGCACTTGCTTATCCTGATGTGTAACTTGTATTACGGGCAAAAAACTACACTTAGCACAGAATATGAAGAAGCAGGATGGTTTCCCACAGGCAAAAGTGTCAGACAAGGTTGTATTTTATCAATCTGTACACATAAGGAGATGTGTACATAAGGAAAACTTGATTAGAATCAGAGGAAGGAGTGAAATTTAGTAGAAGCAGCATGACTAATTTAAGGTAAGCGGATGATATTGTACTAGACAGAGAGCAGCAATGATGTGAAACAAGTCCTGATAGAAGAAAGATGGAACTACCTTTACAGCATATGACTTCCTTGAAAGAAAAAAGTACAAAATTAGGACTGCAGCTGAATATGAAGAAAATAAAAATCACGTCCACAGAATTGCGGAACTGTGATGTTAATAATGAAGAAACTGAAATTGTGAAAGCTTTTACATACCTTGGCTCAATCATCAATTAAAGGGAGACTGCACACAAGAAATTCAAAGAAGACTGAGATGTGGATGACTATAATGAAGGAACTAGAACAGATCAAGTGTAAGTATGTCTTATTGGAATCCAAGGTCGAGATCATCCAAACTAATCACAGTCTTTGAGTGCGAAAGCTGTACAGTGAAGAAAGCTGACAGGAAATAAAATGTGTTCAAACGATGGTGCTGGAGAAGAGCTTTGCAAATACCCTGGATGGACAGAAGGACAAACAAGTATGTCCTAGATTAAATCAAGCCAAAGCATGCCCTAGAAGCAAAAATGACAAAACTGAGGCTGTTATACTTTGGACACATCATAAGACGCCAACTTTTATGCTAGGGAAAGTCGAAACAGAAGACAAAAACGAATACCAGATATGAGATGGATTGGAGCTGTCTGTTGAAAAAGTTACTTTGGGTGCACATTCTCTAGGGCTGCTGGCTGGTCTTCAGAAGAATTACAAGGGGCATTCAACGTATTCTTGGTATCAGCATGAAGAAAAAGGAATAATAAATTGAAATAATTTTTATTTTTCAATGTAATCCCCCATAACTTCAATACACTTATTACATCTAGAAATTAACTTTTCAGTTCCCTGTAAAAAATACCCTTCCTCCTTGTCTAAAAAATGTGTGTTAATTGCTACCTTGAGCTCTTCATTGTTGGAAAATCGTTTTCCACAAAGATCTTTTTTAAAGTTCAGGAATAGGTAGTAGTCACTGGGAGCCAGGTCCAGGCTATGGGGTGGGTGGTTTTTTTCTTCGAAACCACAGTCTCGCACAGCAGCCTTCGAAACACGCACCGTGTGAATGGGCACGTTGTCGTGAAGAAGCAGCACACCTGCGGTCAGTTTTCCCCACCTTTTTTCCTTAATTGCTTCTCTTAAATTACCCAGAGTGGTTGTGTAAGATGCTGCATTTATGGTTTCACCTTTTTTCATGTACTCAATCAATAAAATTCCCTTTGAGTCCCAAAACACTGTGGGCATGATTTTTCCGGCCGATGGAGTGACTTTGAATTTCTTCAGAGGGTCAGCACCTTTTTTATGCCACTGCATGGACTCCTGCTTACTTTCAGGGTCATAGTGATGAACCCAAGTTTCATCTCCAGTAACAATCCGGTCGAAAATACTCGATGGATCTTCACTACAGAGCTCTAAAAACTCCCTACAGCACTCGACTCGCACTTGTTTCTGAGGCGCCATGAGCATTCGCGGCACCCATCTTGCACAGACCTTTGAAAGGTTAAGATGGCCATGAAAAATAGTAAATATGGTACCAACAGATAGGTTTGTCATCTCTGCTAACATTTTGATTTTTTATTCTGGCATCTTCCAATACAAGTTTCTCAATTTTTTTCACATTTTCTTTCGTAGTGGCAGTAACCAGCTCGCCCGAGCGAGGGTCGTCTTCAATGCTTTCTCTGCCCCTTTTAAATTCACTTGACCACTTTTGAACAGTAGATAATGAAGGTGCAGAGTCCTGGTAAATGGCCACCATCTCTTCTTGAATGATTTTTTTGACTTTTTCCTTGTTTTGTAAGGAACTTAATCACAGCGCGGTGCTCGATTTTCGTCAACATTGTCGCATCAGTCATCATGGTCATCTTTCACTGAGGATTACTAGGGAACTAATGATCACACTTATTTGAAATTTTGCATGTATACCCTCAGATAGTGTCATTAGCTAATGAAATAATTAAATTACCCACATCAATAGCAAATCAACCCAATACTGAGAATACATTGAATGCCTCTCGTAGAATCAAAACAGGAAAGAGGAGAGGTGCAGGAGGAGGTGTGAGAATGTAGGCCATCCCAAGACTGTGAAATGAGAGAAATGGAGATGCTTATCTCAATGCCAGACTCACCAGGTGGGCAGGAAGTTACTGGGAATAATCAAAATATACAGTTCCAAACAGCTCTTGAAATTGAAGGGAACTGGGGAGAGGATGGTGTCTGGTGCATTAAGAAAAATAGTGAAAACTCTATGTTCTTGTAATCACCTTTAAATGAGTTCATTAGTCCTTGACCCAAATTTTGTGGAAGTGAATGTATATATAGGGCTAAATAAGTACAAAGACCTATATCATGTTGTTTTCGCTTAGTCTCATAGGGAGTTGATGTATTCATGCTTGAATACACTGTAGCGTTCAGTAAAAGATGATAAAAGTGACACAAGTATGGAACTACCTTTAGAGCATATGAGTAACTGTGGTAAACCTACTTACAAATAAAAACATGTTTAGAGCAAGTGACTTCTATCAATTCCTGATAAAGTCTATGTAGATTAGGCCCATCTCTTCCTGTAGAGGAACCCCTCCTTGCCCCAGTTTCTGCCCTGCCTTGTACAGGAGAGAAGACAAAACCTGGACTGAAGCTGGCTTTCTCAAAGAATGTTCATAGGCTTTCTTCCCTTCTTTCCTGATTGTAGGTCAGTTAGCACAGCTGGAAGGAGTGTGGCTAACAACTTCTCTCCACCACCATCATTTCTCACTATTATAGCAGGAGATGGGGGGAGACTATGGCTTCTACTTTTGAACAGCTTCACTAAGAGCTGAGGGAATTAAACTGAGTGAGGTTATGATGTTCTGTGGTTCTCATAAACATAGTTGCCTCAGGGATATATAGATAGGCTTTCAGTCCAATTTCTTATAGAAGGAGACCAGTGGGAAGACTCTCACCAAAACATATCAGTGAAGTTAAGAGTAAGAAGCAGTTCTAATCCTTTTTAAATTCTTTATGACAGGAGCAAATGTGAATAGGACCACAGCTAACAATGATCATACGGTATTGTCACTTGCTTGTGCTGGAGGTCACCTGGCAGTTGTGGAATTGTTGTTAGCTCATGGAGCTGATCCTACACACAGACTGAAAGTATGTGGTGTTCTTTCATAATTAAATTATGTACTGAATGCATGTTGTTGGACAGCCTTTCGATCTGCATATATAGCATAACAGCATATAATATGTAAGCCCAAATTAATTTTTACATTTAGATCCCCTACTGCTGTTGTATAATTTTTTTTCTAAGAAACTCTTGTATTGAAAAAGTTGACTATTCTAATAAAATTGTATTTTTATATTCATCTCCCTTGATGTGAACATGCTAGTGAGCGTATAATCTGCTAATAGTGCTATTTGCAGGCAACTGGGAAACATGGAAAGTCAGAAACTGATAGTTAAAATTAGGGTTTGACTATTCTATAGCACTATTACCAATAGTACTTTACAAAGCATTGTGATAATCTTATTTATGCCGCCCTAAGTTCCATGAGGGTGGGGTAAAGTACAAAGCCTATCTATGATTTAATTTTTTTACCCCTTTGCTGCTTTATAGGATGGTTCAACTATGCTAATAGAAGCTGCTAAGGGTGGCCATACCAGTGTGGTTTGTTACCTGTTGGACTATCCTAACAACCTGCTTTCTGCTCCTCCACCTGAGTCCACTCAACTGACTCCCCCATCCCAAGATTTAAATAGGGTAAGATTTGAAGAGCTGGCATGTCTGTCCTTTTGGATTTTGTTTTATATGTCATTTTTAATGCTGGAGTCCTGCTAAAAATAGTCACCACTCATCTGGAAATAAAGCATTTTGCTTAAGATATATTGTTGAAAATATATTAAACTTCGATAAGGAATCACTAATCTATTTGGGGGTTTATTTTAATTTTTATCTCCTGCTTCATTAGGTAACCTGTAGTAGGGAAGGCTTGGCTGGGTGGACTCAACGTTTTCACAGTTTCTGCTGTGGTTATTAAAATACTTCTGTTACTGCTGAGAATTTCAAAAGTCTGTGAATTTTTTCATCTAAAACTGTGGCTATTAGTAATAGTTTAATCTTACAAATGGTGAAAATATATACACATGGCAGTTTTTCTGGATAACAGTTTATTTTAGTCATGTAGCATAACAATGAATATAATCTTAGTATCCCATGTTCTAGGCTCCTCGTGTACCAGTACAGGCACTACCCATGGTTGTCCCACCCCAGGAGCCTGACAAACCCCCTGCCAATGTTGCCACAACCCTTCCCATCAGAAATAAAGGTCAGTTGTAGATCTGCGGATGGTCACTAAAATATATTTCGCAGGTAGAATGTATAAGGTTGCTTTTATTTCTTGAATAAAACTAGTATCTCTAGAGCAGTGATTTCCAACCACCGGTCCGTAGACTGGCACCAGTCTGTGGGAGATTTTCTGCCAGTCTGCGGTGGGGGGGGCAGCATCCCACTTGCCACTGACCAGTGCAGGGGTTGGCTGTGCTGCACCACCTCATCCTAGGTTGGCATCACATTCACAGGGGGTGCGCCAGTGCTGCCAGGGGTGAGGGGCAAGGAAGAGAGAGGTGGCTTGGTGGGAGCCACGCTGTACCGATATTGGTATTTTGTTCTTTTGTTGGCATTTTTTGTTGCTCAGTTTCTGGTTGTTTTGGAGATTCTTTCTTTCTTTCTTTCTTTCTTTCTTTCTTTCTTTCTTTCTTTCTTTCTTTCTTTCTTTCTTT